CAAGTAGTTAAGCAAAACTGAACAAAGCCTCATCACGCAGATTGTTTCATAATCTCGACACTCTCAGAACAAAGATCGGTCATACCGGCTAGCTCTGGATATGTGAACTTCGCCAAAGTTGAGATGGAATGGTAGGATTATTTTACAGCCTCAACGCATAAAGATATCGTGGCGAAGAGCTCTGAGGATCAAAGCTCGTCGATATAGTGGTAAAAGGAGCCAGATCGCCGACGCCTGTTGGTGCAAAATGGTCCCGGGACTGTCCGTTTGAGAAGTGTCATCGATTAGTCGGACAGCCCTTCTAGAAACGGCATCGAGTATGGACAAATTCAAAATTTGTCCTCGGATCGATCCAGGATTGCCACTGTAGAAAATATATACGTTGACTTGTCTCGATGCAAATATGGTAACAATCGAAGCACCTCTTGTGTCAACTACGCGTTTGTTTACTGGGAACTACAATCTTAGCATTTAGTTTGTACCCTTTACTACCAGATCTACGACTCTTGAGTGGATTCAGCCTAAGAATTGAACTACTCATAGATTATGGAGGAAAAAGTTAAAATGGCATGGCTGAGTGGTGTCACGTTTGATACAACTCTCGGGTCACCCTGCCAGGGTGGTTGGAATACCAGAGTCTTAGGTTTAAACATCATCAGTGGCTTTTCCAACCTAAACCCTTCATTTTCTGGGTAGGCATGATATCTTGTTCAAATGAACGTGCGACACAATCTGGTCGGTAGGCTGGAGAAGACTCTAGATCAGAGAGAAGTGGCACTAGTGGCCTTTTTGGACATTGAAGATCCATTTAATTGCACCACAACCGACTCTAACAGACATGCCTTGGTTAGACACGGGGTTGGATCAATAATAATAGACTGGGTCCTATCTACTCTGGAGGGTCGGGTAGCAACAGCTATGCTGAATGACGTAAGCTGCAGCGTCAGCGAAGCTAGAGGCTGCCCCCAGGGCAGAGTTCTGTCACCCCTACTGTGGTGCATCGTGGTGAACAGCAGTATAGGTGTCTACGTGGAAGCCTATGCCGATGACTTAAGTATAGTAGTTAGGAGACGTTTTTGTAGAACAGTCTCTGAAATTATGCAGGGCGCTGGAATCGTGGTGCAGGGAAGTCGACCTTTCTGTTAATGTTGGAAAGACCGAGCTGAACCTATTCACTAGGAGAAGAAGGCTTGACGGGCTGGTCAAGCCGACCTTGTTTGGGACTAAACTAATTCTATCCCAATCAGTGAAATATTTGGGAATTATCCTGGATTGCAAACTGAACTGGAAAGAGTATGTTGAATATAAGGTTAGCAAGGCTCGCAATTCAATGTGGGCCTGCAGACGTGTTGTCGGTGTAAGGTGGGGGCTCAAACCCAAAGTGCTATACTGGCTCTACACGACGATTGTACGTCCATCTCTCTTGTACGGCTCCCTGGTCTGGTGGCCTTGCATTATAACTGAGACAACTAAGCCCAAGCTCAATAAAATTCAGCTTTTGGCCTGTATTAGCATTACAAGCGCAGTGCGAACAACGCCATTGAGTTCAATGGAAGCTCTGTTGGACCTCCCACCGTTGGATCTGGTGATCCGCGGTGAAGCGAGAGTAGTCGCTTATCGACTGTGGTATCAGGGCAGCTGGGCCTTCTTGAATGCTGTCAAGCGGCATACTGCCATCTTAGTAGAATTGCAAAGGGAGAACCCCGTCCTTCTAAGCAGCGGTGATCGTATTACCCATAAATATCGCTTCAACTGCAAGTTTATTATAGAGTATCCAACGAGGGAGAAGTGAGCGGGCAGGTCTGGTACACGGACGGCTCGGTTACCGAAGAGGGCTCAGGTGCTGGAGTCTCTGGGCCTAGAACTAGGCTATCTCTGCCTCTCGGTGGATACACTACTATTTTCCAGGCGAAACTTTCTGCGATTCTGGCCTGTGTATCTCGCATTCTGGAGGAGGGTGGGCCTAGGAGAAGAATAACAATCTTATTCGACAGTCAGGCTACAATGAAGCACTGTGCCTGTAAAATTACTTCGAGTCTTGTATTGCAATGCAGGGAGGCTCTGGGTTGCCTCGCAGCGAGGCACTGGCTCCTTATGGTGGCCGGAATGCCTCTAATTTCACGATTGATGCATTCATTCATTCATGGGATGGGGATGAAGATCGACTTGGTAAACTACTGGTAGGTGGAGATCGACAGGTTTTTCCGCCTAGCTCTGCATATGATAACTTGTTCAAGGTATAAAACGCTAATTCCTTTCCGGTGAGTGCTAACTCAATCCGTCTTCAGCTGTACGACGCGATATAATGAATTAACAGTTCCTTGATTTTTGGATGTGACCAATCTGTTGTTGTAGGCTATTACATCGTGTTACTCAAGCCATTATTAAAGCAGAAGCGACACCAAGTGAAGTATCGCTTTCGGTTGGAATGTTAGTTTGGCGGGAAAGGGGTACGTACGTATCCGTTTCGACGTGTCACTTGTGGATTTATGTTCATTTCGTCGTGGTGGCTGCCGGTGTTTATTTATAGGCGTAACGACATCGCCTCTCTTCCCTCCTATCCCCTGGTCGACGTTCCAGACCTCCATGGATGCGGTATTAGCTAATTTCATGTTTACGATTACACCAAAACCGCTAAAGGAACATCATTCCAAGTGATGCCATGCGAGAAAGGGGATCCAACACATATGGGCCGCGGAATGGTCATTGGAAGAGTGTTTAAGTTGTCTTTATTAAGTACATACACATGAATATTCCAGGTTCAGTTTAAACGATCCGAACAAATGCCTTCTCCGAAGCATATATCACATTTTTGATTGAAGTCCTGCATTCTATGTGGATTGCCCCTCTTGAGGAATTTCTTCTATAATCTGGTACCTAAATGAAGGAGAGGAGATAGTGTTATTTTTTGTTTTTCTATAAGGGAATGCGTTTATCGTTCGCGTAGCAATAATGAGTAATTTTGGAAATAGCTTACATACCTATCTCTAATTGCATACATAGTTGGTCTGCAATAACTTCAATAAGCCGGCATTTGTATGCACATCACTGAAAATCGTGCAGTATGCTTGTATCGTTCCAAGACGAACATGTATGTATAGACGGCTATAAAAAGAAATGTCGCTCTAAATGTCGTCCTACCTTTGAGCAAACGTAACCACACAAGCAGCAACACTCGATATCCAATACAACAACAATTATGGATCTATCAGCTTTCAAGTATACCGAGTGACAAAAAAAGGTTGACACCTACGGATGTTTATTAGAATTCAATAATTTTTTACGTATCGATTTATCTTGCCATGAACAACAAGTGATGAAATGCTCAGGTTTTTCCGTTAAGTTTTTGTGGTGGCTGCTTGTATTGTTTGGTGATAAAGAAGCATCCAGTTTTCGTACATTAACGGTGTCAGTTAAATGTTATTGTTATTGCGTGAAGCCGGCCTGTCGATAAGAGAAGTTGCTAGGACTAGAAGGACCAACAGATCCTTACGCACAATACTGCAGTATGAACGAGCGTGGACTAAGGAAAGCCGGGGACAGCGAACGAGGGGTCCTGGGCGTCCCAGCGGGAAGTCACAGCGACACGACCGCCTGTTAAGACTTCTTGCTCTGAGAGACAGGATCAGTATTACTCGAGCTATCGCTAATCAGTGGTTTGAAGAGCATGGAAGGATGGTTGGTATGCATACGGTATATCGCCGAAAATTACAGTTTGGCCTTTTTTCTTATCGCCCACATTGGGTGCTACCTCTCGCAGCTGAGTATCGGCGTAACCGTTTGTTTGGTGTAGAGAAAGAATTCTATGGGATCGGTAATGGAATCAGGTGGTCTTTAGTGACGAATTCCGCTTCTGTCTGGGGATGCACGATGGTCAGGCAAGAGTGAGAAGGCAACGTGGCGAAAGACGTGACCCACAATGTGACAGAGAGTGTTACGTTCACCACACCGTGGGAGTTATGGTACGGGGTGTTATTGCTTTTGGTAGCAGATCACCATTAACTTTGTCAGAGGCAATATGACAGCCCGACGCTATATTCAGGAAGTAGCGGAGCCTCATCTTATTCCATACATAAACACCATCCAAAACCCGATTTTTCAGCAAGACAGTGCCAAACCGCATGTTGCCAGAGCATCGTTAGCCTTCATGGATCTACATCGCATCAACCGTTTATCTTGGCCACCACGATCGCCTGACCTATCTCCATTTGAACATGTATGGGACATGATAGGTCGCAGACTCTTGAATTTGCAAGATCCTCCACAGTCTTTAGCAGCTCTTACTCACGAAGTTGCAGTAGCCTGGAATGAGATATCCCAACAGGTTATCGACCACCTTAGCACGATGCTGAGGCGTGTCAATGAGTATATGAGGAATCATGGATCCTCAACACATTACTGAACCAGCTTCTGCAGTCAGTTCACGAGTAAGGGACACTGAACATATGTGGCAAAAATTATTAAAATCGGATCAACATACGTATCTGTTTACCTTTTTCTTCACTCAGTATATTAAGAAAAATAAATAGCTTCCCTTTTGCAGGAATGCTCTCAAGTTTCATACAGATAGGTTTTTAAAAATTTCCATAATAATTTATTTTTGATGAAGCTGATATAGCAAAAACATTAATATTACGAAAACCATTTTATCAACTCTCGATCTAAGAGGACCAGGAAGAAAAATGTATGGCTGCGCTACGGTCAGGAATGGTCTAGGTGTAGCTCTATTGACATTTTAGGTGAGCTATTACACAGTACGGTTGCCGTGATGATTTTCAACCTCCAATAAAAAGAAAATGTAGCCAGCCTTGGCGAGTTTATTATACGGTCTGCTAAGACTTATAAGTTTTGCATATAGAAACATAGTAGGCCGTGCGGATCGAACGTCAGTACTAAATCTTGACCTCACTCTTTAGTAAACTTAAATTCAAAGTTTCACAACAATACGTGCAGTATTCTCACTACAGTGAATTTTTAAGTGTCACCAAGCCATTAGAAAAATGGAACTGAACCGAGAACATTTTCGCGCCATAATTTACTACAACTTTCAGAGACAATTATCGCAACAAAAATGCCTTGCTGAGTTACTGTCTGTTTTCGGCAACGAAGCGCCAAATCAGTCGACAATTTCACGTTGGTATGGAGAATTCAAACGTGGACGGGTGAGTCTTAGAGACGATTCCAGGGTGGGTGCACCAAAAACGGCAGTCACCCAGGAAAACGTCGATGCTGTGCGCAAACTCATCATTGAAGATAGACATGTGACATAATCGCGAGATTGAGGCATCCTTGAAGATCTCAAAGACCTCAATTCAAAAAATTTTACATGAAGAATTAGGAGTAAGAAAATTAGTTTCTCGTTGGACACCTCACCTGTTGACTGAATAGCTGAAAGCAGCCAGGGTTAATTGGTGTCAAAAAATGCTTGACCGTTTCAATTCCGGAAACTCAAAAAATGTGTACAGCATTATTAGTGGTGATTAATCGTGGATTTACTGTTATAAATCAGAAAATCAACGACAGTCAGCTGTTTGGGTGTTCCAAGGTGAAGAAAAGCCAACAAAAGTCATCCGTTCTCGAAGTGTTTCGAAAAAGAGGGTTGAGACAATTGTGTTAAAAGCAAAGAACTGTTACTGCGGATAGGTATACCACCCTTTCTTCATCCTCCACCAAGACAATGCAAGCTCGCACACAGCCCAAAGAATAAGGCAATATTTAACGGAAGAAAACGTAAAATTATTGGACCATGCCCCATATAGTCCCGATCTAAGACCTAACGATACGTGGTCAAAGGTTCCAGTCACCAGAAGAAGCAGTTGACGCATTCAAAAATGCCGTTTTGGATCTGCCAGCAAACGAGTGGAATAAGTGCTTCGAAAATTGGTTCGAGCGCATGCAGATGTGAATTAATCTTCATGGAGAATACTTCGAAAAACAATAAAGTCATTTAAAACTACCAACCGTGTTGTTTTATTTCCATATGCAAAACTTAAAGGACATCCCTCGTAATAGCTCTGAACCTAATATAAGTAGCAAAAGAAGTTATAAAAAACAAGACTCAATTTTGGGACAACGTTATAAATATGTATGTGATGCCATCATCCTCAAATTCGGGATACGTTGCAGTCCCGCAACGACAGCATGCCGCGGAGAATTCAATCACTGTGAGCGCAAAAGGTGGCTCTACAAAATAGTATTCTTCAAAATGTAGTAAACACATATTTTTTATACAAGTGTGACGTTTTATTTGTGTTAACAACTATATAATTAAGTATATTATGTATACATACAAATTAAATAACTGTCTATTAATAAAGCTGTAAAACACTCTATAATTAATATTTCACATATACTCTCTCTCTCTCTCTTCTCTCTATATATATATACATATATATATATATAGGTATATAGAGAATATTGTAGTATATACTCCAATAAGGTGTTGGATTTTCTTGCATCTCGTTTTAATAGTACTCTTTTTCAATATTGAAATGATATGGGAGAACACCCTAGGTTACATCCGAAGGCAAAACGGTAAATTTCATCAATATTTTGCAAAAATATTCGTTATTATGAACTTTGAGCATATACAAATTTTAGGCACTTTTCTATAAATTACTACCAAATGCAAGCTGATCCCAGAGGAGACACAATTTTTAGGCTTAGACCGTACATCCATCCCGACACACCCGTACGGGTAGCTTGCAGAAGCGAATCCTTAAAATTTTAATTACAATAATGCAAACCGAGCCGAAAAATTCCTCCATAATTTCATCACATTCACATTTCTGGGCCGAAACCCGCCGCAGCAGCATTTCCCGTATATTCATTTTCTCATCCCAGCTAGACTGGCCCGGCCAGATTTTCTTCTTGTGGAATTTACTAAAGTAATTAAATAATTACATGATGTTTCCTAGAGAATGAAAATATAACAACGTCTAGCTTGAATTCATTAGTGAATTTTAAAATAGGAATTATACAAACAGATGTAAGGGGAGCAAGAATGTATAAAATATGGTTGAAATGAAAGAAGCCACAGAAAGAGACATACTGAGGGTGACAAATTCGGAATAAGTCTGTTAAATTGAAGTCCTACATCTTAAACTCCTCTAGTTACAGGATGACTTATCAATGTCCAGTTCGACAGATAAAACTCCACTATCAACTGGATACTTCTTGCTATGCTGGATCAGTTTTGAGAGTTCAGTCTGCAAAACCTCAGACATAATTTCGGCTTGAATTTAGGTTGACAGAATGAATCATTTGTATATCTTCCAAGTATGTTCGTTGAATGAAAGTTTTGCGTATGAGGTCTAGTTTTTTCCTTTACAAAATTGTGCTTTAACAGATGATATACAGTGCTTTTCAAAAAGTACCCCCGCACCTTTTTTTGACACCGAAGCAGCTGCGCAGCCAGAAACTTAAATCTCAGGGCACTACGGCTGCGATGAGGGTTCCAAAGAAACTTTGTTAATCCGATTCTTCCACAACTTAGACACGCTAAGGACAAAGGAGCGGTCGTATCGGACGGTTCTGGATGTACGAAGTTCGATACGGTTTGGATGGGAGGCGTAAGTAAGGCGGGTCTGTCTGGCAGGCACATCGCGCGGTGGTATCATTGAGGAGAGCTCTGAGGAGCAAAGTCCATTGGTGTAGCGGTGGGAGAAAGCTAGATCGCCGACGGCATCAGGCATGGATAATGAAGTAGGGACGGCAGCATCCCAAATATGTGAACAATACTCGAGGCTAGGTCTTACCTCGGCCTTGTATAGAGTGAGGAGGCCATGTGGAGAAAAGTACTTCTTAGCCCTAAACAAATATCCTAGATTTTTTCCACCAGCTGCCGCTATTGTCTAGATGTATTCGTGCCAGATCAAGTCCTCGGTGATCTGGACACCGACCAGCCGAAACTAACGAATCTTTGATCATCTTTTGAATGAGTCAAGTTAGTAAGCTGAGATTTGAGTTGATGAAATTTATCCATGAATTAATATAAAAATAACAGTTAAAATGGCAGGAGGGCTAAAAAATCATTTAGCTACAACGCAATTAAATTATATAATCATCTGCCTGACACATTCCAAAATTATTCAATATTTAATTTGAAAAGAGGCTTTAACTAATACTAAAACTACACGCCGAAGTCTGATGATTAACACAAAATGCTGGAAATTGGGACTAATCTTTGATTCTACTTTTTTGTGTTGTTAACTAGTTATTATTGAGAATTATGCATATATGTATTTCTATTGGTCGACGGTCAACTTGAAGAACGCTACTCTTAGGGACACGCCTTTTTGTACTTTTGTACGAAATAAAACCCATTTATTATTGTTGTTACTGTTATTATTATTATATTGGAACTTTTTTAATAGAAGGGTGATTAGGCGATATCTCATTCTGAAGCCAGTACTTTATAACCCTAGTATACATATTTACAGTTTCCAAAATGGCTAACTCGCGAGCCATCAGAGTTGAGCGTTTCTTTACATTAACTCTAGAGTTGATCGTCAAAAACCTGTAGTATGTATCAATCTTCTTATTTTCCAAGGGTCTATCTAAATGTGCAATAAAATATGGGACATTTTGCTTAAAAACAAATAATATTTTTATAAATGGAATCTTTCTTATTTTATTACATATTCGGATAGATCCTTACAAAACGTCATGATCGATATAACCTAATGGTTTTGATGCTTGGTTGTTGACACAGCCTGCCAGTCCGACATCTTGAAGGACAGTAAATTTATATTTTTAAGGTTATACAAGGAACTTTAAAATGGTATACTACATGATACCCCTCCATTTAAAAATATATTGCAAGGACCTAGCCGCCAACTTAAACTTTCAACTGCGTCACACGCTCTTATATGGTGTTCATGTATTAATTCCATCATCCCGAATTTCAGCTTTGATCTGTCCAAAAATAAGTGGGAGGCGACCTCTCTATAAAGTACTGTATATCTTACCTTCATGTTCTGAGAAAAACCTATTCGGAATTTGTACATTGAAAGTTTTGTATTGAAAATCAACAGGATTAAATGCTATTTTCACATGACCGTAAGTTGTGCATAAGCAACATTACTCCTACACCATAAAACCTCACACCCACTGCTACACCTACGATACCCTCGATTTACCCTCTTCTTATACTCAAGGGCACGTCCCACCCAGCAGCCCTTTTTGGCACTTTCTTAATTAACTCGATCTTAATTAATCACAATGTGTATATATCTTCGGGATAAGAATGTTTGTTTAGTCGTTAGTCTTAGGAGCACCTTCGATATATTCGCGGCATTTCCTTCCCGCTCCCGATGTACTTATACGCCGTCTTGATTGCCTATAAGTCACCCCCGTAATTGCACTATAAATCTATGGGACAATACAACTTGCGGATCGGGAGTCGAAGGTTACGCCAACTAGAAAGGAGGAACTCAACTTCATTTAAGGAAAGTTACCTGTCTGTGTAACATCTGAAACCTATACTGTGGTTTTTATGCTGGTAGAACTTCATGATTTTCTGGACAAAAGAAACTACATAAGCTTTTACTGATGCTTCAGCCATGACGGTGGTCTTTTTCAAAGTACAAACTAATAACAATTTTCAATGCTTGCGTACATTACAAAGCAAGCGCAATGAGTATTAAAATATTTGAAAATTTAATGAGTTAGACGACACCGCTATTTCAGCTGCAACGGTTTTAGGATTGGTGTGTACAAGAACGAAAAGCATATGCGTTGACGAGCGGCTCGAGCAGAGTTCAGTTTCCCTTAGGGCTTAGGAAACTTCATTCCTGCACATGGTACAGCCAGTCAATCTGTTTACTTATTTTGCATCGCATTGATGTGACCAAAAACGGTGAAAAGAATTATATGTAGTTTCTTTTGGCCTGGAAATGTTGAAGATTCACTTATCGGGTATGTATAACACAGTTCTCGATGCTACGTTTGCTTTGCAGTGCACGTACTCAGTTAGTTCTTGTCAAGTCTCATCAGTCTACCGATATTGAACAAACGAAAGAACCGGTTCTATCTGTTATGGTACTCCTAAAAAGCTAGGAAACTGAAAGGTAACATTGTTCTGTGTACCAGGATATGGAAAGCACAAAAGAAATATGGAGGCGGATGAGATAGCTCGAGAAGATGCGACTAATCGTCTTAAAGGCCTTAAGGCTCGGCCAAACCAACGCGTTCAGATCGCGGCCGCGGTGGCGTGCACAGTGGCGAACACTGCGCGTGCAAAAGTTGTGCACACTGTCGCGTTTGTTCAGGCGTTCAATATACTGGAGTCACGTTACTACAATGATACAGATAGTAAAATTGAAGGAGAAGTTTCACTAGTGTCTGCTATTATTGAAGACGAAGAGGAACAAGAAAGGTAAGTACAGTACGATGGCATTTGGGGTTTGTATGAAAACAGCCTACTTCTCATAATGTTAAATAGATAATGATGTATAAAGATATTGTGCCAGTGTAGTAAGTACCATGGTTCGATAAGGCCTCATTATATGTATTTCATGTTTATTTCATGTTTACACTATCCGAACAGTCTATGCCACCTAACGGATAGGAAATTCACAAATATGCATCCAGAATGCTGGTAATAGAGTCATATACAATAGATTTCTGATTATCTTGAAAGACTTAACCTATGGTAAGGAAACACCTTTTAATTAAATATATCTACACGGTCATTAATACAGTCCTAGCTATTACACATTACATGAACAGGAGAGAAAAGTAATGCATTGCTTTTAGGTACAGTGAGGTAAAAATATTTTACATTTGCTCGAGTTTTAGCATAAGGCATATGTATAGCAATTTTACCAAGATGTATTCACAATCAATTATATTATTGAGTAATTTACACAAAAACATACAAGCAGCATAATCTCTACGCTTTTCTAAATTGGACATGTTAAACCTACCTAGCAACACATCGT